TGTAACGGTTTTGCCTGTATTTTTCCTAATTTTACTAATAGTTAATGAATATGCCCTAATATGGCCACAATGGCAATACCACACGTTATCACGAATTCAAAGTATAACTCTATAAACAAACCCCAAAATAACTCTTTTTATAACTCTGAAAATTACTGCCAAAACTAGTATATTTGGATACTCTCATAAGTCTGACGAGTCTTATGCAAGCACCCAAATATAGGCATACTTGAATAGAGTTTCCATACCTTAATAGGCTAAGTAAATACAGCTCTATTCTTATATCCAATCTAAGCTAATGCTGCGTTGCAGTATACGCAACCATTGGTTGCTGTTAACCTTTACTCTGACGACTTGAGTATAAAAAGCAGCATCACCAGCCCCCGCGATATGAAGATTCTCCCCTTATTCTCAAAAACCGTTACGACTGCTTTATATTGTGTTGTTCAACACAGTGAATTGTAATAATTATTCTTTGTTTGAATAAAAGTATTAAACCTTAACAAAAGTCTATCGTTCACTCGCCTAAAGAAGACCGCGACCGCCTCCGGGCCCGTTGGCCCGTCGACCAATAAAGGGTGAGTAGGCTTTTGTATTAATTGAATAAGGAGACCGTAACGGGCGCACTCGAGGCCTCGTCCGAGGGCAGCCGGAAGAGTGCTCGAGAGGCGTAACCGTTACATGAGAGAGAGAGAGAGAGAGAGAGAGAGAGAGAGAGCGGAGGGATTCGATTAGACGTCTGAAGGGATTTCTATGAATTAAGAACAGCTTTCATGAGTGGATGAGATGGCTCTCCAGCGCAACCGTTTGGCCGTCTTTTGGGAAATTAGTGGAAAAGGAGCTCAAGAAGAGTGAAGTATCAGTTTTAGTGTGAATTAGTTGAATGTGTCAAACAGTGAGCTATGGTTTTGTCAGTCGTTTATGAGTTTACAAGTCGTTTAATTTGTTGCCTAATATTACACACTCACTCACTCTCTGTCTCACATATAAAAATCTTACACTCAATACACAACCCAAACACTAATACAAATGCTATTAATTTAGCAAATATTTGATTTAAATTAGTTTCGACACACATTATACAAACTCATTAATCAAATGCATAAAAACCAAACAAATTATTGAGATTTTCTCGTCAGCTATTAGTTCATGAAATGCACATTTACTTCAAACGCCTTTCCTTTTATGCCATAATATACTTAAGTTTTAAATTCTTTACTCCAAACTAACAGCTCTCCTGAGCTCTACTGAGTTTTTCACATTTCTTAAAGCATTTTTGCGATCGATATTCAAACCGAAGGCAAAATGTAATAACAATAATATAACTGAAAAAATAAATTATAAAATTAGTCAACAAAATATTTATTAGATTCTGAATTAGAAACAAAAGGCAACAAATTATTATTATTATTATTGTTAAATAAGGATTTATTTTAACGACATTAAAATTAAGTCGTTTTTCTCACTAATACTAAAATAAAGTCTAAAATAAGCTCTTTATGCAATTTTTTCTTAGGCTAAAAAGTATATTATATTTTACAGAATATTCGTGAATAAAATAACAATACAAAGCGCTTATGAGGTTAAAAGGAAACGAGAATAAAAGGTAATATATAAAAGGCAACAATTTTTCAATGTACGATAAAAAGTATAAAAAGGGATTTTAGGTATAAATTATAAATAAATCCAAAATCTACATAAAAGATGGCTTTGAATGAATTGGTTATGATATAACAGATCGTAAAAATAGACTCTAAACAGCTATAAAGTGAAGTAAAAGTTTGCTTTTTATATGAGTTTTAGAGCTTATCGATAGGCCGGCCATTATTTGGCGAACAATTTTTTTTCTGCTGATAGCGTTATGGCATTATTGGTGTAAAAAATTATTTTTCAAGACTTGAGAAGTGAAGTCAATTGCGAGAGAATGAACGGGAATGGAGTGAACGCTTGATAAGACTCACAGACTTCACTGTTTCAGACAATGTATGGCAATGTATAGCAATGGGCTCTAAACGAGCGCAAGGGATCAGATGTCAGTTATGAAGGAGTAGT